GAGGAGAAGAAAGGGCTCTTTTACTGTTTCGTGCTTCTAAGTCTTGCCGAGGAGGGGCATAAGCTGCACTCGACATTCTGGGAATAGCAATGAGGCGCGCACAACAATCAAAACACACCAAATCTGTTTGATGATTCAAACCCATCATGCATCTGCACCCACAAAATAGGACTTCAATTAAATAACCTTGCAGATTTGAACAGGAAAAGAAGGGAGAGCATGAGGATTTTTAATTAGGAACTCCCAATACAAGCAGTTTTGGAAAAAAAAAAAATTAGGTGTTTGCGCTATACTTTCTTCTCAAGTGAGTTGCCAGCGGGTGCTGTTTGAGAGCGCGGGCAGTTTCTCCCTAACGTTTGCTTGGAATTATGTTTTTATTCTTACTGAGAAGACTCCAGGAAGTTGCTTCCACCAGGCCTTTACTAAGGAGGTGAGAAGAGCTAAGAGGAGGCTTTTTTATCTGCACTGGCACACAGACACAGACCTTCCCCAGTATTAGAGTAAAATTCTGTATGGTTTCAGAAAACAAAACAAAACGCTCCCGTGCCCGTGCGCGCACACATACATACACACATACACACACTACAGAAAAAGAGAATAAAAGCTTCATGTCTCAAATCAGGTCATATAAAAGCCACAGTTTCTGTTCCCAAGGATCTTTCCTTCAGCGGTTTCTATTTCTGAGATGGGGATACATTATTTCACGACTTCCATATTATGTGGGCTTTGAGCACAGGCTCCAGCGTATACGCTTGCACCCACCCCGGAGAATAACACACAGTCCACTGTGAATGATGTGCTTGAGTGCCCCAGAAAAGACCTTTTTTGTCGTTGTTGTCAGAGAGATCCAGATTCACCTATTTTCAGACTGACCTCCCAATAAGCTAGGCCTGGTCTCTGCTTGCTTTGAAAAAAATCAAAAGGACATAATTCATATTGAAAAGCGGGAAAGTGTTTGTAAGGCTTTCTCCTTGGACTCTTAGAAACACTTCCTTTTTTACTGAAAATGTAGCCTACTTAGCAAGCTCAACAGAAATTTGGAGGCATGAGAACAAGTTTGAAAGTCTCTAGATTCACCCCGCTGCCCCTCCCCGCCCCCCACCCAAGGCTCCAAATGTTAACAGTTGTCTGAAAAAATACAAATAAAATCTACTTGAAATGCGAGAATTGTTCTCAACCTGAAACTCTGGAATCAACACAAGGACTAGTTAGCAAAACAATAAGTCAAATTTATAAGACAGGAAAATTCACTAAATCACTAAAAATATAAATGAATCACAGAAAGAGAGGCAAGAGTTCCAGAGCTGGAGCGGGAAGGAAGCGAAGATGCCTCACCCCATTCCTACGTTCAAGCAATTATTTGACAACTGGAGAGGTTCAACCGCAGTGGGGGCTACACTTTTTAGAAAGCACATAAATTTGGGTCAAATAAAGAGTTCAGAGAATCCCTGCTACAGACTTTAGATCTAGCCAAGAGTCCCGGGGAAAATATGCCCCTTTTAAAAGCTTGCGAGCCTTTGGAAATAAAAGATGGCCAATTTTGTAATCACGGAGGTGGAATCACCCTACTCCTGGTAACTCAGGAAGTAGAAAAGTGAAGAGGCTGCGTCTCTCCTCCAGTTCACCTGTGTGAATGGGAAGCTTTTCTCCCACCGCAGCATGAGGCCAGCTACCAGGCCAGTTCTCCCCTCATCGGACCCCGCGACCCAATCCTAAGTCAGCATGGCCTTGAGGGAATCATTTGTTCTCGCTGGGTGTCAGGGTACGCCACAAGGAAACCAAGCACTCGAGTCCTCACTAAAAAGACGGCAAACCGTGGTGCTTCCTTACCTCCCACCAAGCCAGACAGAATCTGTCCTTCAAACTTCCGTTTTCCATCAAGAAGACTTTGCAGACCTTTCTACATGCATCTTTCCCCTCTTCAAATTGGTACCATATAAAGTCTAGCAGCCATCTGGCGTAAATTATGTGTTGTGACATCTCATATTTTTATTAAACTGTTAAAGCAGCATTTCCACAAGTATGATATTGTTTGGTGTTCCTCAGCATAACTCTGCCGTTGGAATCTAATCCAGCTGGATTGCACCAAGTTGAACAAATTGTACGGCAAACTATCTCAGAGTAATTTATTAAGAAGCTCCTTCATTGTGACACTCCAGTGCTACAGATAGCACTCGGTCTTCCCAAGTCTATTTTTAAGAAGAAGGGGAAAATGTTTATCAGCAAAAAGCTTTGAATCTGTGTCACAGAGTTTCACTTAAGAATGAAGATTCAAAAGTTTACTTATTCAGTTGATCATGAATACCCCAACTAGTTACAGAGAACCTGCTCTGCTTGGGGCGCAGCTATGCTGGACATGGAGCTATCAGATCGGTGATTTCCGGGACCCTAGTCCAATGAGGCAGACATAATAATGGCTCATCACAATATGGCGTGGTATTGCATCTGGTGAGAACGATGTGCATCAGATAAGCGAATGCTGAAGGGGAAGTGCCCACCTGAGCCAAGGAGAATGAGGAGGAAGTTAGGGAAAGTTTCCTCCATGCAGTGACATAGGTAAGGATGAGACAGCACTGTCAAATTCCTGACACATGTATAACAAGTCACAGTTTATAAGGTTTTCTCATATTATTACAATCCTAACTTTCTGTATCTCCTTGAACACATGAGATATATTAGGTGTTTGAATATATTTATGACTTTGGCTATTATATTACATTTTATCAGGGTATACTGGTTATATAGATTGATAGGTTTCATTTGGATGGATTTATACAAATACATACCACACATTTGATTTGTGTTTTAATTTGCCTACAAGGGTTCAATTCCTTTGGAACCTTATATTTTTTTTTTTTCTTTTTTCTATCTGTGAAATGCTCCATCCCAACTTCAATATCCAACTGCAGGTCACTGTGAAAGACTGTTTAAATTTGGACCTTCCATATTGGGGGAAAAGCCATGCAGCAATATCTATCTCAGGAAAACAACGGGGTCGTATGTTTTTCAAAATAGTGAGATTTAAACATTGGAAGCCTTGTAAGAAGAATGCAAATCACGTGAAGGAACTTTCTGTTTGTGGTGAAGGTTGACCTTGGAATTCCTCAGCGGAGACCGAAGGAGAGACCCTGGGCCCTGGGACAGGGGTGGTGTGACAAGGACAAGGCAGCTTTGTTTGCTGGAAACCCTGAGAGACACTGCGCTGGAGATGGGACCGTGGCTCACCTCGCTAATTCATGGGTATTGCTAACCTTTCCACCCACACGGCAACATCATTTCCAGTATGCGTTTCCACCACCGGTCATCCAAATCCATTTGATAATAACCTGTCTTTTTTTGACTGGCACTGTGTGCTATTTACACCATTTTCAGTTCTCATGATGAGTCATCTACAAGGGACACACCTCTGACTGCTCCTTTCAAATGGAAATGTAAGATCATCTACCTTCCTGGAGTAGCACGGTGGATTCATGACACAGCCTACATTCTTCCTTCTATAAGAGTAATCTATGAGCAAGAATCTAAGGTAGTCTTTGCCTGCTCTGACCCAGCTGTGTAGGGACATCTTTGTTGGGTTTTTATATCAGATACAGGAAGCTTAGCAGGAAGAGGAGGCAGCAGGTATGTGTGGCAACATGACAATAGCTTCAATACCTGTGTGACTTGCCTGTGTGACTTTCCATTCATTCTGCAGGGAAGACGGCACTAGGCTGGATGTGAACCAGCCCACGTGCTGGTCTAGCCCTACCTCATACTATGTGACTTTCCTGCTCTAAAACTTCCTTTTTTGTCATCAAATGAAATAATGATGCCCAGCCAGTGTCTTCCCAGGAAAGCAGAGGAAGCTCAGCTGGGTCAGAGAGGCGAGCAGAGCATGACAAGCCTAAAGCTCCCACTGTGTGTACCACTGGGGCTAGGGCTTGAGCTTGACCCATGGGAGTCAGAATTCGGGGGCTGCATCATGCCAGCTACACGACCCTGGGAAGTTTCACTCGCCAAGCTTCCTGGCCTTCATCATAAAATGGCTAGTGCACACCCTCAAAGGGTTGTGAGGATTTAATGAGATCATAAATGTAGCACCTGGCCGTGTCGGGGCTAAGCTTTCTCAGTGAGCCCTAGCTCCCATCATTCATGCAGACCTGAATGATGGGATGGACCTGGCCATCCTGTGGGATGGACCTGGCCATCCTGTGCAGGAGAACGACACCCATCAGCATGCCTGGTGACCTCCTGGGAGACAAAGTCCACATGCTGCTTCCTCCCAGGAGGCCCCTCTCAGTCCTGGGTCCTGCCCCACTCGCTCAACTCTGTCTCACGACACCTCTGTTTCAATACTGCATTGTGCTTGCTAGGCACCGTTCTGTACTGTATTTTCTTACATGTGACCTTTACTAGATTAGAAGAAACTTGGTGGTGCCTGTTATCACAGCACTCTGGGAGGATGAGGCAGGAGGATCCCAAGTTCAAGCTGAGCCTGGGCAATTTAGCAACTTTGAAGAAAGACTCTGTTTCAAAAAATACCAGGTAGAGATATAGAGATGGAGATGGAGATGGTGGGGGGAAAGAGAGAGAGATTTAAAAGGTTGAGGATGTAGGTCAATACAAAGGCTCTGGGTTCAATCTCAAGTACTAAAAAGAAAGAAAAAGCAGCCCTGGGTTCAATCTCCAGTGTAAAATGGAAAGGAAAGCAAGGAGAGAAGGAAAGAAAGGAGAGAAGAAGAAAGAGAGGGAGGGAGGGAAACTTGAGGCCAGGATTCTGTCCTATCATTTCACAACTGCTGGTCCCAAGATAGGGCCCACTTCATGGTACACACTTAATAAGTGTTTATGGAATGGGGTCTGTAAGTGCGTAACGTTCTGCTGTACAGAAGTGACGGAGTGACGGAGACACACATACAGAGATGACATGACACAGGGACATGCGCAGCACCCTCAGGGGCTGGGCTAACCCTAACCTCAGGGCCTAGACATTCCCAGCTCCCCCGGTCATATGCACTTACAGAGACCTGGTGCCTCGGCTCCGCAGATGAAGCAGACATCCCCCAGTTCTTTCACTGGTTCTGGAAGGCCTAGAAAAATGAAGCAAAACAGTGCTGGGAATAAATTTTTAAAACTCACTTAACTCCATTCTTTCTCCAGATTTTGTGCCCCTAAAATAATATCACAAAATCCTGAACTCCAAACTGAAGAGAGCAAACATAAACTGTCTTAGAATCAGGGAGATGGCAGCGGCAGCTTGTACCGGAAGTGGAAATCCTCCTATCCAACGTGATTTCCAGATGGAAGCGTAGAACCCTGCCCTCTCAATACCTGTTTCCCAAAAATCTTTCTGTCCCTTGCCAGTAGGATAAAATTCCTGCCGCTGTGTGTCTGCATGTGTGTGTGTGTGTGTGTGTGTGTGCTCGTTAGTACATTAGCATCATCCACGGGAATGTGCCACTAAGTCATAAAAATCTATTATTAACTGAATAATTTATCAGATCAGGTTTTCAGTCCCACAGGAGACAGCTTGGTCTGAAATTAGAAAGGACAAATGGACTTTCACTGTGGGCGTTAGCCTGCTGTGGGATTGGAGCCCGGTGTAGCCTGGAGGAGGTGGACCAGGCAGGGGAGACAGAACTGGAGCCCGGGCAGCTGGGGCACGCGTAATGATGGAAATCGGTGTCAAGATGCAGTCCTGTTGTCCCTTGGGTCTCCTCGTTATGGTTGTGGTTGTACTTGCGATCATTCATGTCATCGTTGTTTTCAAATAAGGCTTGTTGAATACTAAGCACATGCTAGCACTGGGATGGGCCTTGGTACACAGCAGTGTGAGTGTCCCTCTCCTATGAAATCGATCCTAACCCTACTTAGACCACACAAATTTAACAGAAAGCGACCGTCTCAATTCTTTCTCTCAGCTCCCAACTTTCGTTGATGCGTTTGGGAAAGAGTACAAGACCCACTTGTGCCAATCTACAGCCTACACCGTGATTTTCTAACTGGACCTCAGAGGGGATGGCTCCCTCCCTTGTGGTGAAGATGGAGGATGTAAACCTGAAAGCAGCAGAAGGCCATGTTTCAATCAAAATAGAAAATAGGCTCAGAAAATAAAGCTGGGGATCTGGGCAAGCGGCAGAGAAGAGAGACGCAGCGTGTTCAGCAGCCTGTTTCCCAGAGTTCTGTACCATCCATGCCTGAGCTGCTTTTGCTGCTGCGTGGCCAGGTGAAAGAATACGTCCCTTTCCTATTTAGGTGACTTCAAATATTGTGTCTGCTGGGCTGGGGATTTAGCTCAGCGGCAAAAGCGCCTGCCTGGCAAGTGCAAAGTCGTGAGTTCAGTTCCCGGTACCGGAGAAAAACAAAAAACAAAAAACAAAAACAAAAAAAAAAAATTGTGTCTGCTGCTTGATACCCAATACTCCAAACTATGCTACATTTAAATGCCTCTTAAGGGTCTTTCATTAACTATAAGTCTCTGCGCTGGATTCAGGATTGTTAATAAAGAAGAAAGGGACAAAAACTAATACATACTGGATGCTTACTAGATTTCAAGTATTATATCTGTAAATTATAATATTCTCCCTTCTAGCAACTAGAGGCAGTAGGCATTGCCTTCAGAAAATTGAAATAGGAAGTGGAGAGATAGGAAATAGGAATAGGAAGTCTTTGACAAAAGAGAAGGGATCAGGAGATGGCGGGAGGGCAGGGGAGGGAAGAGAAAGAAAGAATTCTGAAGTGCTAGTACATGAACTAACACCCCACCAGGAATATAAGCATCATTTTCTGCAAACATGTAGCAAAAATTTTTTAAAAAGAAAAAATTGAGCTTAGTCTGGCTAGTAACTTGTCTCAGTTCTACAAGAGGCGGAAATGAAATGTGATATTCATACACCGTTCTTATTCTTCTGCTCTATATTACCCTTTATAGGGTCTTATAGTACAATTCAGAAGACAGATAGTTACACAAATAATATCATGGAATATGAAATGATACAAATGAAGAGAGAGGAAGTTTGAGTAAAGAAAGACCCAAGGGACCACCCAAATTCTAGGTACTGAATTGGAAGTTAGAAGCCCTATTACTGCTTTTAAACCCTGTCCTTACCATGAACCTAAAAATGTCATTGTTGCCAGATAAGAGCTTGAGTCAGTGCTCTTCACTTAAATATGCTCAGATCTGTAATTTGGAGGTGGAACACAAAATCTTCAAAGGCAAGCCATTTTGTTGGGAAGAGAGTAATGTTTAACCAAGTGTATAATAAAATGCGGAAGTATGGGCAAAATACAACCACCCAACGACAGGGCAAGGAGCATGGGTCTCACCCACAGCAGAAATTACTTAAGTCCTTTATATGGGAAAACCATTGTTTTGTGAGGCTGCTAAACAATGCAATGGGTTACCAGGGCAAGCTATGGAATCTCCTAGTCTAGAGGCCTTTAAAATAGTAAAATTTGCTTGGTTTGAATGGTTTTCCGTGTGGTCTTCCTTGAGGCAGGGTGGGGTCAAAGAGCTACAGAGGAAGGGACGACCTCTCCAAATCTCCTCCAAAGCCTGGGAGTCTGCCTACCTGACTGCCGTCACCTGGAAGAAGGGGGCCTCTGCCACTTGTCACCTGCCCCCCTTCCTAGTTCGAGACTACCTTAGTAATGCTCTAAGTCACAACTGCTGCTGAAGTGATTGAAATATTTAGACACAATGGCGGACGTTTAATAGGGTCCAGTGGGAACCCCAGGTGTTTAGATCAGCTTAAAAATAATAACCACCTCCCCTGCGGGGGGGCTTTCTATTCACAATCAGCTCTGCTTTTATTCTTAACCATAAAGGCTACCTCAGACAGGAAATTATTCACGTGATTGGTCTTTACAAGTGCTGTTGGGTTTAAACTGAGGGCCGTAGAGGTCATTAGTGGGCAGCCGTGTGATTAACCTTTGCTAGCCTGTTGCTTTTCACACTTTGTTAACAGCTTTCATTATTGCCCCTCCGAGTCTTGAGGAAGCTGTTTATTGACAGTATTAAAAATACATCGCTACAAATTCTTAAGAGCCTTGTGTTAAAGAAAAAAAAAAAAACTCCCAACATCTTATAGCCAGCCCACTGGGGAAATGGGAACCTCTAATTTGCTATAAAGGTTTATCAAGAACTACGTTAAGTAACACTGCATTTAACTCAAGGGTTGTGTCTGACGTCGCTCCTTTCCTTTCATATTTATATGTTACAGTGACACCAGAGATTCTGAGAAGGACTTATACATATAAAGTATGAATTCTGTTACTCCTGAGGAAATTAAATTATATATAAGTTTAGGGAGGAGAGAGGGAAAGAGGTTGATAAGAAAAATGTTCCTCCGAAGGAAAAATGAAGCCATCAGTGCCACAAAATGATTTCGGGAAAGATTTTTATATGTGCCTCAGTACTTCATCCGATGGGAATAAATGATGGCTGGACTCTCCACTGCAGCCCATCCTCATCTTGGCCTGTGGTAGGTCTTAGGAGACATTTCCTAGAATTTTTTTTGTATAAGACTATTTTGATGTTTCCCTACCAGTGATGTGCCTAAAACCTATTTAAAGGATGGCGCTCTTCCAATGGTCCCTGGTCCATGACTCCTCCCACTGCCCCTGTGACCTGCCTAGGAGAATTGAATGGCCTTTCTGTGACCCCCCATCTCAGCATAAAATTTTTCCCAAGCACTTTTCTTCTACTCTCTGAATTCCAGTGGAGAATTTAACTCCCTGCTTTAGAAGTGTGTAAAGCTTTTCCTCCTATATCAGAATGCATGTTCAACTCTGAAGCACAAGAGTAAGCTAAAGATGTTCCTTTTAGAGATTTGTCCCCTGAGTTACCTACATGGACACACACAGTTGCATGTACAGTAAGCAGATATAACGAACGAGTGGGAAGGGAAGCCATTAGGGTCCGTGTGAAATTCTTGCGCTCAAAAGAATGAAAGAAAGGGACAGTATACAAAGAGAGACAGCGGATCATCCTTCAGCTGCCTTGACTTTTGAGTTGTTTTTGATTTTGATGTTCTTGCTCTCACTCTTAACGCTGCTTAAAATGTGCAGTTTAGGCTAAATTATTTGTCTGTGTATAATCATGGACAAGTATTCCTCATAAAGAAAAATATGAATTAATTAATGTTCTTCTTAAAAGAACAAAAACATAAGAAATGGGGATACTAGCTTCCACCAGAATGGTCCATTGTATGTTATATTGACCTCCAATGTTTGTGTGAATTAGTCTATAGTCAGACTTTAGTTCCCACATATATGCTTTGGCCAATAAATCCAAACAAGTGAGCAGGGAAAAGTTCAATTCCATTTCAAAAAATACCTTTATAACTTTTACAACTAACAAGGCACGTATTCCTATATTTCGTGATGGAAAGGTAGAAGGAAAATTGTTGTCAGGATAAGACTTTTTATTTTCTGTCAAATTTTATCTGGAAGCTCATTTTAAAAGGGAAATTATAACCCGCCCAACCCCCAAAATCAGGGATTTGAGATGAAAATGCCAAAATAACTTTAATTATAGGTTTGTTGGGGGTGTGACATTAAAATATCAGTCAGTGGAAAACTTCACATTGTTAATGCTTCACTCAAAAAATTTGAAATTTGTGTTATACTATTACTATTTATTTGTACATTCTGGTTTCCAATGTACATGTCTGCTAAATGAAAGCCCAAGTCACTATAATAAGTGGGCCAACATTTTCAAATTTCTTTCAAAATCAGAGTTAAATGTATATGGCTACAGCTCTGCTAACGTAAAGCCCTGGTTGCACTTCCTCTAGATTTTTAAAATCAGGCTGAGTCATAAATAATTTTTTAATAAAAACATAACAAATTTTATTTTGACCTACACCTTTTTGGTTTTTTGTTGTTGTTTTATAAAATTCAGAATAACATTGTAGTTCTAGGAGAAAAATATATAGTAGTCTCTAACATCAAGCTACTATTTCTACCTAGACTTTTTGTGGACAATAATTGGTTTTCTCTGCTCCCTCTCCCAAGCTACAGAAGAAAGGAAACCATGGAAACTGGGCCACCATAAAGCAATGCTTTCTAACCGCAGCTGGGCTCTCACT